GGGGTGGGGGGTGGGAGGTTCTGGGGACGAGACAGAAAGGCAGGACTGACCTTCCGCAGAGCAGCAAAGGCAGGGCCAAAGGTGGCTTTGACCTGCACGCGGTCCCGGATCCAGGACGGCAGCTTTGCCAGGATAGGAGGGCGGGCGTACCGCTGGTCCAGGAGCACGATGCTGGCAAAATCCTTCTGGTGCCTGATGGCCCTGCCTGGATGGGGACAGAGGTTGGGGATCTGAGTTAAACCTGCCTCCCCCCACAGTGCGTTTCTACTCTGTCCCCTTCCCCTTGCTCAGCGCTCGGGCTGGAGAGATGGCAGGTGAAATCCCTCCTTCCTGTCGCCTCACTCTCCAGCCATCCATCTCGCCAGCAGCGTCAGCCCAGGCTCACCTATGGATTGGTTGACGGCCTTCATACACAGGTTCTCCACCAACGCCTTCCCAGGGGGCACCTGGCCCGGGGCTCGGGGCTGGGAAGGGCAAAGGAGGTGACCCGTCAGAGCGGACTCTTGCCTCCTCCTAGTGTTCTTGGCGACAGTGACACAGCCGGGCTCTGGAGCGGGACCCGTGGGCCTCGTGGCGAGGCACAGCAGCCGGCATGATAGGTGATGGCATGGAGAAGCTCAGGGGCTGTGGAGGGGCGTCCCATCGCTCTGGAGCAAACGGGACACACACGTCCCAGGGCAAGGGGGAGTCACAGCCGCGGGGTGCCCCCTCCCCTCATCCTCTGAGGCACTGGCGGTACTCACGAGGGTCTGGTCCAGGTAAGCCATCTTCTCCTGCAGCTCTGCAGACCTGATGCTGGGGAAGGGCATGCCCACCATGACCACACACCTAGGGCGGAGGCACACGTGAGTCACGGCAGCTGGGCGGTGCCCAGGACAAGGGGCCTGTCCTCACCCACACCTCCACTCCACTTCCTTCCGCCTCTCCCTCCCCTCATCCCTACCACCTGGAGAGGGTTTCTCTCAGCGGAGATATCCAGTCTAGACCAAGGAACTGAGTCCTGATCAAGTTAGGGGCTGCCTCATTTTCCACCTGGCCCCAAAGGGCCAAGTCCAGAGTTGTTGCGTCCGTGCGCCTCGCGGGTGACAGGCCTGAGCAGTCAGCCCGGGTGTGGACTCAGAAGGCGCCAGATGGGTGGGTGTCAAGAGCCGCGGGAGATGGGAAGCCCACCCCTTACCGGCCAAGGTTGTCAGAGAAGTTGATGCCTTCACTCATCTTCCCTCCGACCACGGAGAACATCAGGGCCCCTGTCACCATGCCCCCTGCCTGGCCACAGTGCTGCAGGAAACACCCAGACCAGAGCTGCAGAGCCAGAGCGTGGATGCCAACCACAGTACTTTCAGCTGCCAGTGCCACGCGCCCTTTGGACCCAAGGCCTCAGAACTACATCTCTTACCTTAATGCACCTGGAATACTCCAGCAGCACCTGCTCCACCTGGTTCACTCTCTGGGGCTCCTGAAATATCTGAAGGTAAACATATAATGTCTCCCAGAAAAGGGTTTCAGAATGCCTGGGTCTTGGGTGGCTCTTGGCCTTATGTTTTCCAGACTGGGGACTGGAGAAGCCCACAGGGCCAGGGCCCTTGGGGACATCCCCTGGATGGTCATCAGGGATTGGAAGCGGGGGTAAGGAACTAGCGGGAGCCCCCACACACAAGAAATCCAAGGAGGAGCTCTGGGTGCCACCGTCCTCTCAAGTGGGAAGTCCAGCGGAGCAGTCACTCACCACCTTCCTGACAGCCAGGCGGGCCAGCAGGCCACTCTTGTCCCAGTGGGCATGGACCTGGCGTTGGTACGCATAGGAGGGGAAGAAACAGACCACCCCTCCCGGCACCACGTTGCACAGGTTACAGAGGATGCGACCCGTCTCATCCATCTAGGGAGGGAAGACAAGGAACGCACCACGGAGCCATCCCTGAAGCGCCCCCCCCCAAAAAGGCTCAAAGCCAAGTACAGCGACCCACGGGTGACTGCGGGGGAGCACGGCCAGGTGGCTCCCCGGGGCGGAATGTGCCACCCTCCCTACCACACACCCAACGATGCTTCTGGTGCCTGGTAGCATCTGTGACACACCACTGTGCTGGCACACCAGAGCTAAAACCCAACATCCTGGTGGGGATTAAGCCCCATCTGTGACAAATCAGGCACTGAAAACCCCAGGCATGCCACTAGAGGTGTGC